GCTTATTCTGAACCATAAACAATGCCAGTTTCTCTTACTAGAGTGTGGGCCACTTGAGGTTAGAGTGTGTGTTTCCTTTCTGCACCCCTAGCTACTAACACTGTATAAGGTGCATGGTTCATTTTTCATCCATCCATTCAACAAATATTTGATCGTCTACTAGAGGCCAAGCACTCTTCCAGCATGGCGCTAAGGAACTCTACAAGACAGGTATGCTAGTCATTCTGCTGTTGTATCTCTGCTCCAAATCCCACCTTTTTTTTTTGAGATGGAGTCTCACTCTGTTGCCCAGGCTGGAGAGCAGTGGCACAATCTCGGCTCACTGCAACCTTTATATCCTGGGTTCAAATGATTCTCCTGCCTCAGCCTCCCAAGTAGCTGGGATTACAGGCACCCACCACCACATTCGGTTAATTTTTGTATTTTTAGTACAGATGGGGTTTTGCTATGTTGATTAGGCTGGTCTTGAACTCCTGACCTGAAGCGATCCTCCTGCATCAGCCTCCTAAAGTGCTGGGACTACAGGTGTGAGCCACCGTGCCCAGCCTCAGCACATATATTCTGACAACACACACTACTTCTTGTGGTTATTACCTCTGTCTTACTTCAGTGTTCGCTTTTAGATTTTTCTTCTTCCTCTAATATGTTTTATTTAAACTAACTCCTTTTATTAAATGACACCTCTGAAATATCTAGTGCAGTTCCTGTTCTCTTGTCTGGACCCTGACTGATGCCATGGGGAAGGCCCTCGGGCTCGTGGACCTTAAATTCCAGGTGAGGAAGGTAGACAACAAACCAATAAAAGAAGGGTAGTAAAAAGTGTTACAGTGAAAAATTAGGGTAATGGATGGAGCCTGGGCTACTTTAGATTAGTTGGGGAAAGTCTGTCCAAGAAGGTGACATTTAAGCAGTGAAAGAATTAAGTTTCTACCCATGTAAAGAGCTGGGGAAAGATGCCCCAGGGACAGAGACCAGTCAGTGCAAAGGCCTTATGATTTGAGTGGACTTGGATTCAAGGATCAGAAGGAGTGCTGGCGTGGGCAGAGTGGGGTGAGGGACGGGTGCTGCGGAGGAGCGGAGCTGAGAGTCAGGCAGGGGCTAGATCACATGGGCCTCCTTAGCCAAGGATTAGTTTCTCTTTTTTGTGTTTTTTAGAAATTCTGAATGTGTTGAAAAGGCTTTAGAGGGATTTAAAATATAGGAAGTAACAAAGTCTGACTTAGATTTACAAAAGATCTCTCTAGCAGCTGACGGGCGATCATCTATAGGGAGCAAGAGCAGAAGCTCTTTTCTCCTCAGGGCAGACCGTAGACACCTTTCAAGGACGAGGAAAGTGAGGCCCAGAGAGTTGACAAGATCTGTCCTAGCTCACTCCATTTTAGACTTTTGGTTCCCAGACCAGTGGTCCTTTGTGGCTACACATTCTCTAACTGAGGCACAACTGACCCGGGTTCCGGGTGAAGCTTCTCAGCCCGGTTTGCAGAGAAGACAAAGCACCCGCCCTTGACAATACTCCTGCTTCATCATAGGTCCTGTTGTGTCCAACTCATGATTTATCAAGGTACACCAGTCTGGTCTGTCACAATAAGAGGTGGGGGAGCCTTGAAAGAAAACAAGGCTCCCTGGGGCCTTCTGCAGATGTTGGTGTGAATTCATAAGTCCCCAAATTTGCATTATTCTCCTTTCTTCTTCCCCAACATCTAGTCCATCACCAAATCCTTCTGGCTTCCCAAACATTTGCTGACTCTGGCCTCTTTTCTTCAGGGTCACCAGGAAACACACCTTCAGGAAGCACCTTTTCTGTTCTATCCCAGAGGGCACCATCACATACACTATGATATGAATCATGACCCCTGGGGCTGTGTGGAGTTTCTGCATCTCTCCCTCCCCACCGTGGCTACCCTCATCCAGCAACCATCCTGTCTCTCACCAGTATTACCGCAGCTGAGACCCAAGTCTTAAGGAAGCTAAGATCCAGGCCAGCAGGGGCCACATAGGTAGAGTGAAGTGATGCTGGTGGGATTTGGGGCTTACCTTGAACAGGCAGGGCATTTTGGGTAGAAGGGAGGGGTCACTTTGTAAATAGAGGTAGGAGAAAGAGAAGAATATTTCTAAATGCGTCAGGCAACAGGTTTTTGCTTTAGTGAAATAACACTTCCTCCTGCAAACTTTGGGGATGGGGGAAATGGCTGGATGGGTCCTGGGAGTGCTGCTGAGGTGATCTCGGGTCAGAAGTTTTTCTCCACAGCTTGGAAAGAGAGGAGGGTGTAAGACTCTGAATGAAGCTGAGAGATCCTTTCATGCTTGGGAACTGAGAGACCACACAGACACGAGCTTCGGGAGACTCCAAAGCCTGGGACCCACTTCTAAGCTAGCACTGAATTCTGATTGGCTGCCTTTGCCTGCCTCAGTTTGTTCCTCTTACTGATTGGCTAGGTTCTTCTGCCCATGGCAGAACCCTGCTCCAGCCACCGGGTCCTCCCACCTGCCACAGTGTCACCTGGGATTGGCTGGGCTCTGAAAGGCCAGGCTGGCTTGGCTCTTGCCGTCATCAGATTCTTCCTCATTAAACAAATGAATCACAATCCTAATTAATTTGAGCAACAGAATTTATGTAACTACTCCCAGCAGGATGTCTGCTCTCAGTCGGCAGAGAGATTAATTCCTCTCTCTGGGAAATTCCAGCCTTGCTGGTCAATAAACCTTAATGATGACTGAAATCTCCCATCTGTCTCTGCTCAGGGCAGGTAACCCCTGCTAAGCAGACACCCAGTTGGCTCGAGGCAGTACCCCAGGCACCGGCAGGACAAGGGCAACGATCTCCCAGCCTAGATGTGTCCTGAGCCACATGGAGCACACAGTAGGTGTTTACTTAAGGATGGGGGCTACCCCTTCCAGGGAAGTTCCGAACCACTTAAGACCCACAGGAAGTGTTCAATGTCTGTTTACGGAATGAATGAAAGGAAGTGTGTGTCACTCAGATACTTATAAAATGGTCTCGAGATCCTAAACTCCAAGCAAGCTTCTCCAGCTCTTTCCAGCCCTTTTTCTCCCTCTATTTCCCATGACCATAACCCAGTTCTGTCTTTTTCCTATTTTGAACTTTCCAGACTCAGAAATTTGGCTCTTAATGTTCCCTGCCCTTGAACCGTCCCAGCCCTCTCCAAAACAGCCTTCAGCTGCGTGGGAGGGAGGGGTAGCAAAGTGGAAAGTGTTTCAGAGTGAGTGCTAATTCTGGTTCTGCCACTTACTCATTGTACTTCACCTCTCTGTTCTTAACCTTTCTCTCATATGTAAACCACACGAGGTTCTTGGGAAGATTAAATAAGAAAACATGGTGAAAATGTATTGCACGGTACTTGACTCGTTTAATTAGCGACAGACAGTGTTTTAGGTAACGGAGATACAATGGTGCTCAAGGCAGGCAAGATTCCTGCTCCCAAAGAATTTAATTTCCAAGAGACAAGAAGCAAGCTAGCGAATATGTAAGATAATCTTAGTTAGGGATCAGTGCTCAGCAAACATAAAAAATGTATGGAGAGGGACTGAGGGGAGTGAGGAACTCCTTGAGGAGGCACCACTCTGAGACCCAAATGACAAGAAGGAACTAACCACATGAAATCTGGGGGAATGACATTCTGGAAAGAGGGTTAAGAATTGCTGCTAAGAAGATGTGGGCGTGTTAAAAAAAATTGCAAAGTCCCTGAGGTACGATTGAGCTCCTCATGATCAATTTGAGGCTTCTGCTCTTGTGTCTTGTAGGTGAACGGGGTAAGGTTTGGTAGGACTGAAAAATTCATCCAGCCACCTATCTAGGGAGTGCGAGGGTCAAGATGTGGACCCAGGTCTTCAGCCCTTGAGAGCAGAGTGCTTGTCACTGCAGCACAAAGAAGGTGTAAGAGAAAGGAAAAGTGAGTGGGAGGTGGTGAGGGAGGAACAGACTGCCTTGTCCTCCACCAGATCTAAATCTGTCTCCTCCTTACGGTTGGCAGGATTATAGGATCTGGCTCCCATGAAGGCCTTCCACCTCCGCTGGCCTAAGCTGTCAGTGTCAGAGAGCACTGGCCCTAACAGCTCCCTTACCAGAGCAGCTGTGATTCCTTCTTCATTTCCAGCAGGGAAGACCCAATAACTTTTACAATATGGGATTTCTTTTTTCTCATGATAATAATGTTCATTGTGGAAAAAAAATGATAAAATAAAAATCAGCTAGAATTCCAACTTCTGGCAATTTGGGTGTCTATCTTTCTGCAAAGTTCCTATACGCATACTTTATAAAATTACGAACATACTGCACATACAGTTTTGGAATATGCCTTTTGCCTTCTGTCATGAAAAAAGTCTTCAAATGCCTTTTAACAGCTACACAATAGTTCACTACATGAATCAACTCAAATGTAACTATTTTTGGCCTTTTATTATAAATAACACAGAGAACCCTCAGTCTTTTTTACATAATGTCCTAACAGAGTAGGGAAAATGCTCCCCAATCCGGTGCAATGTCCTGTGCCCAGGGAAACACATTTTTTCTTTTCTTTTTTTTTTAAAGACGGAGTTTCGCTCTTGTCACCCAGGCCGGAGTGCAGTGGCACAATCTCGGCTCACTGCAACCTCCGCCTCCTGGGTTCAAGCGATTCTCCTGCCTCAGCCTCCTGAATAGTGGGGACTACAGGTGTGCACCACCATGCCCGACTAATTTTTGTACTTTTAGTAGAGACGAGGTCTCACTATGTAGGCCAGGCTGGTCCATCTTCTTAGTTGGTGGGAACAGGGACATCTACACTCCCAAACACCTTGCCCTTAAGTGTATAGCACAGTTTATTGTCGTTTTCTTCTGAGAAATGGAGATTGTTGCACTTTCCCCAAATTTACCTTCATTCTCAGCCTCTCCTTGTCATTGTAATCCCAGAAAAGATACAATGGGGAAAAAGGGGAGAAAGAAGGGGGGATGTAATTTGATGCTACATTCTGAAACAATACACATATTTGAGACGCATGAATATTCTTTAACAATATTTTTATTAAGTGATAAATTGCCAGCCAGGCAAGAGGTCCAGGATCAAGCCGTGGTCTCAGTATGCCAGAGTCTAAGGTGACTATGTTTGGTTTCTGCAGGGGCCTGCCATGGAGGCAGGCAAGGGAGGGAGGAGTCGGTGGTTCTAATCATTGGAGGGTGTTGGGGGTGGAGTCAGGGTAACCCATCTGTAGTAGGCCTGGAGAACAAACCTGGCAGCTGGGGCATGACTGGGAAAGCACTTGAGGACCTGGGTGGGGGCCGACATTCGTTTGCACTGGCGCCGGGAGGGTGGTCTGCCCCCTGTGAGTGGTGCTCAGGTTTAAAGCTCCTCCTTGGGGCCACTGCCATCACCATGTCTCTGGTTTCTTGCTTGGCCTGGAAAAAAGAAATCGAACCAGAGAGAGAGAAGGGCACAGCAAAAGAGACAACGAGGAGAACAGTGTGAAAGTGAGAAAAAGGAGACAGAGGGTAAAATAAGTCAATGCAGGGAGGCAGGTGCTTTGACAAGCGGAATCTTTTTGGTAGACATTTAAGCAGCAAGAGGCACTTTTGGTCCTGGACAAGCTTATTACACATCCACAGTTGATGAGCTCTCAAGGGCCAATGACAAGTATTCAGATACCCAGTGGATCAGGGAAATGGCATTTGCCAACTCTACTGACTACAGACCCTGCCTCTAAACTGATTTGGTGCCCTCTTTCTGCAAATCAATTTCTCAAACTTTCTGGGAGTCGGTTATTTCTCAGTGGAGCAGACATCGATGAACCAGTGCTAGGGAACAGGTCTTCTGGGGAGGGACTGAAATGCAGAAAAAATTTTGGTGGCCTAGGCTAGATTCAGGAGGTGGGAGGAGGGAAGGGCTGGGGAGAAAGAATCTGGGGAAAAGGAAAGGAGAGAGGAGGAGGGGTGGGTGTGAGTGAAAGAGTTCCGCCCTCCTTACCCATGCTCACCTCTCGCTGCCAAATAATTATACTGTCTTCTTTTCAGGCTGCAGGAAATGGTGTTCTGGTATTCACTGGAAAAGTCCAACAGTCATTGTCAGCTTCTGAGGCGTATGAATGGGGTACGGGGGGAGGCCTTGGTGTTGATTGGGAAAACCGAGGGCAGCAAATGCAGGGCCCTCACTCTTACTATGGGAACACATCTCCGTTCAACTTGGTGAGAAGAGAATGAATGTTTCAAAAGGACCTTATATCAGGAAACTACAGGAAAGAATCAGAACAATCCATAAGTGGGGTTAAAGGACATTCTTCATTCTCAATAGCTTTTTCCTCTCCGCCTAACCCTGTTTGAGTGGACAGTGGACTAAAATGTTTCCTCTATTTTTTTTTTTTTTTTTTGAGATGGATCTCCGTCTGCCCGCCGAGGCTAGTGCAATGGCGGATCTCGCTCACTTGCAAGCCCGCCTCCGCGTGTTCACGCCATTCTCCTGCTCAGCCTCCCGAGTAGTGTGGTTCAGGCGCTTGGCACCTGGTGGTGTTTGAATTTAGTAAGAAAGGTACCGGATGTCAATGTCTCTGTTGCGTGTTCTTGTGTTGTGTCCAATTGTGTGTATTGGCCCGTCCTTGTTTTTGTTTATACATTCTATGTGGTGCAATCTCGGCTCACTGCAGCCTCCAGCTCCCGGGTTCAAGCGATTCTCATGCCTCAGCCTCCCGAGTAGCTAAGTAGCTGGGATTACAGGCGCCCGCCACCACGCCTGACTAATCTTTGTATTTTTAGTAGAGACGGGGTCTCTCCATATTGGCCAGGCTGGTCTCGAACTCCTGTCCTCAAGTGATCTGCCTGCCTTGGCTTCCCAAAGTGCTGGGATTACAGGCATGAGCCTCCACGCTCGGTCATCCTTTATTTTTTGAGTTCACACTCAGAGGCCCTTCTGGTAAGCAACCACTTCCCTTCACCCTCCAAGCTCTCCCTTTGGCTGAAGGGCATCTCTCCTTCTTTCCTTTTGAGCATCCTCCTGGCTCTGGATCCTGGAAGTGCTTCTGTACTCTGGTCCTTTCCCTGACGTTCACAATTAACTAGCCTGTGGATAATCTGGGTTCTCCCGTTCTTGAGGCAGGGCGTCTTCCAAAATATCCAAAAGCAAAGGAGTAGAAAGATCATGGGGAATCAACCCTCTCCTTATGAAAAGGCAACTGAGCCCCAGGATGAGGAATAGACTCGCCCAGGGTCACAGAGTGAGGGAACGGTAAGCGTGGGGGCAGAATACAGCCAGTGCAGCCTACCTAGCACTACTACTATTAATAGAACCCATTAGTAGGTGCTAAGCCTTTTCCCCTTCCCCGTCCAAAGGCTCTAACCTGCGTGTGGGTCTAGGCTGACGCTACCGTCCCCTCCCCATTCCCCATGCCTGTGACGCCCAGGCCCTGGCAGTGAGACCAGCAGGTGTGGGCATCAGGAACTTCTCCAGTGGCTCAAATAGCCGGGAGCGATTGGCCTGTCCTCCAACCTCCGTTTGTGTCAGGGATTGCTGCTCATTGGCCTAGCAGAAGTGATTGACAGGTCAATAGCCCAATGAATGATGAGCCTTGGAAGCGTGGTGACAGTTACTAGTCAGTTCTTGCTTCGCGAGATCCTGGGGTAACGGTTTTATTTTTTTCCGAAGTTGATTCAGCCGTTTTTCACACTCAAAATCCAGCGTCTTCTCAGTAAAGGGTGTAAAGCAATTTTCGGCCCCAAAGAAAGAATGCGTTTGGGGCTCTAAAAGTACAAACGAACCCTTCAAGAGAAAATAAGAGTGTCGTATTGAATGAATCACTTAATAAAGGGGGTTTTGCTTTGCTAAACAGTTGGTGGGCAAGTGAGTGGGCAGGAGGGAGGAAAAGATGGCCAGGAATGGGGACAGAGGAATCAGGCAGCAGAAGACTGGAGTCAAAAGTGCTTATTGCAGTTCTTGTAACCTGTGTGAAATGCTGTGGCCATTCTTGGGGCCTGGATAGGTTCTGGGACCTGGGGAAAAGGATGGGGTCACTTCCGGGGACTCTTAAGGTCCAGGAATCAGGGCTAAACTGGCAATGGGGTGATGAGGCAGTGGTTGTGGTAAGAGCTGGCTTGGATGGTGAAAAGGGTAGCCTGGACCATGAGATAATTCCTGAGAGTAGCTAATGATGGTCAGATAAATGGAGTGGCCCATCCTTGAAGGGTGTAGTCACATAAGATGGGGTCCCTGGAAGAATGACAGTGGATCACCCCATAACTGGTTAGAAGATGGAGTTGGAGATAAAGAGAGATGAGTCAGGGAGTTGAGAGATGGAAAGTTTGACAAAGGAGAGAGAGTGTCACAAGGACTGAGAGCTGGAGTCCCAGAAAAGCTGAGCAAACCATGCTTGGTACATAGTTGTCACTCAGTAAGTGCTAGCTATTATTATTGCTCCCTTTGGGAGGGGAGGGGAGGGGTTAAGTCTGGTAGTTCAAAGGCAGTAGGAGGCAGTGAGTGGAGAACTAAAAGAGTGCCAGGAAAATAGGCCATTCTAGTTGTCTGTTTCTTTCCCCACTGTGATTATGAGAATTGCAGAAGCCACTCCTCCATTGGGGGAATGAGAGGGAAGAATTGAACTAAAGAGAGGGTGCTGGTATGTTCTGCAGCTGGAAACCCAAAGGATGGGAAGTAGGAATGGGGAGAGGCTGCCCTTGCAAGTGTCTTTGATAGAGCCTGTTAGAAGTGAGGTGAAAGAGGAGGGAACAGGTGAGAAGTAGAATGGGTTGTGGCATGGTTAGGCCCTGGGTGAACCGTGTACGTTATACATAACCGTTGTTGTGATTGCTGGAGTGGGGTCGTGGGGAGGAGCCCCTCTAGTTGTTTCTCTTGGGAAAAGGGAATGGTGATGAGATTCAAGACTCCATTGGAAATTCCCAACAATCATTGCCATAAATGTCAATTGACTCAGGGACCACACATTTCTGAGGGAAGAGAGGAAAAGACTCTTCTAAATTTTCTATTTGACAAGCAGGGTGTGTACCAACTGAGGCTCCTAAATAGAGAGTGCATAGTGCAGTTCATACAGGTTCTGAACAGAAAAAATGAAACTCCTGATGTCAATACTCCATTTCCCTTGACCTTCCTACCCTCACTAGTGTGTGCTCTCTTTTTAGCAAGTCATTGAATGATTGGCATTTGTTGGGAGGAGTGCAGACTGCGCAGCTCTGAGGTAGCTAAGAGAAGGTGATGTTGAAGGAAGAGCAAAGAGTGCTTTTGATTCCCCAAATTACACTTAAATATGTATCTGTGGGGAACCAACAAGCTCTCTTTGAGCAACAGTTGAAATGCAAAGCCATCTGGACTAGCCTACGACCTAAGGAATTCTCTTCTATAATGTCTGGGGGAAAAGCAAGTAGGGAAAGGGGAAGATAAGGTAGGCCAGAGAGAGGGGAGACACAGAGAAGAAGGCAGAGACAAGATGGAGAGATCAGTGACAGCAGAGGCTGAGGCTGGACCGAGAGGGTTACGAGAGACAGCCCTGGAATGAGCTAGTTAACTTACTTGCCAAATCTTCAAAGTCTTTTCTATTTCTATTTCCACTGAATATGGTTCTCCTAATTTACAAAGGAAATTTATACAGTCTTCCATGATTCAAGAAAGGCTTGCATTTACTGACTTCTACCCACTTGATGTAAACTGTTCAGAATTTTGTTGAGGCTCCCAGGAAACTCCTGATGATCTTGCTCATGGTGTTCAGATCTGGGTGGGGCAGATGAGCTAGGCAGTGGGGTGCTTGTGGGAGCCAAAGCTTGGAAGTTGGTTTCTGGAAGGTGCTCTCATTTCTTGTCTCCATGGATCGAGGGCTAAACAAGCCATTGGATAGGAGTGGAGTGGAGTGAGTCTCCTCATTAGCATGCTGGGAGGTGGCATGGACTGTGGCATCGCAGTTGAGGTGCTAAGGTGGAGATAATAGCATCATGATAGAGGCTGTTGGCCTTGCAGTGGAGAGAACCTGATGGAGCGCAGTAGTGAGGAGTGAGGGTAAACTGGCCCTCAATGAGGGCTAGTTTCTGATTATTGTGGATATTTTACTCATAGTCAATGACTAGAAGTGTTTCTGATAATCTGAGTAAGGTCGTAGGCAAGGGGCTGGGAGGAAAGTAGGGCCTGGGTAAGGAGGGCACAGGTACTGAGCAGGGCCCTGAAGCCAACTGTTGCTAGTCTGGAAAGGCACTCTCCCCTCCCCTCAGAAGGAAATCAATTAGGCCTGACAGGGTCAGGGGCAGAGTCAGAGATGGAGAATAGGAAATAAACAGATGATGGCGAGAGAGGCAAACGAGTGTGATGGAGAATCATGAGAGATGGCAGGCCATTGAGCTGACTCTTCAGGTCATCTAAGGATGTCTCTTTTTGCTCCTATTTCCCCCTGAGATGATTCTAATAAAACACCAAGGGTGATTAAAATGGATCTAGGGTTTGGGGCTTCAGAAAATGGCCTTTTTTCATTTACGGTACTGACTTCCACTAAACCATCTCCATGCGTGGAAGCTTGTATGCAACAGAACATGGGTTTTCAGCTTGGAAGGGTAAACGACTCTCCTGTGCAGTGGCCTTGTCTTAGTGACTCCAAATATGGGAAATGTCCAGGAGGAGGGAATTATTGACACACTGGAAGTTAGTTATCCCCTGATTTCATGAACTTTATCTCCTAGTTCTTCCCTCTGCCGGTGGGAAGTGGTGACAGGGTCTGATGGTCACCAGGAGGCTCTGAGGAGGTAGGGGAGAAGGCAGGCAGGCAGAGAAACCCAGCTGGTGGCAGGTCGGCAGGTGGGTGCATGAGTCCTCTACCTCCTTCTGCCCCTCCCGGGTTGTGTTCTGTAGCTGGACTTTCTGTGAGATTCAACTTCCCGGCCTTCCCAGCCCCCTAAGCCTGTCACCTGTCTTGTGTCTTGCAGTAAAGTGAGGAGCAGGGAGCAGGAGAGGGGGAAAGAACAGGAGAGACAGGGATGGGGAGAAACCGAACCAAGGTGATACATGCAGAGACAGAAAGACAGATCTACTGAACAGTGACGCCGCCTCTGCGTCTCTTCTGTTGCTTTTCTTCATAAATGATTATGCTCATTTTCCAGGGATCTTTGTGTCCTCCATCAAGGATTTAGAGCCCAAGCATCACACTTCCTGAGCTGAACTTGCCCAACTTGCATGTAGTGCCCTTACTTGCTAAAAAGTAGGTACCTCAGCTTATGAAGAGTTGAAGTGATTCCGAGACAAGGGGTTTGCA